GCTTTCTCATATTGAGAGCTCTGCTTTGCCACTGGTGAATTTCCCCCCGATTTTGTTCTTCCCTCTCAAACTTGGCTTCCTTGGACAGATTTGGCAGTAGCATTGTAAGTGATGTGGACACAATTGCCTACAATAATGAAACCGACAGGATTTTTTTTAAAGGCATATTTAGGCATTTTTCCCCAGGCAGATCATTCTGAGTGTGCGAGTGTGTGTGCACATGTTACAAAAACAACTACCATGTTAATAAAATATTCAATTTGAAAAAAAAAAAAAAAAAGGTGGACTAGCGGCCTGCAGCTCCTCCCGTGTTTACGGGGCATTTTTCTGCCCAGATCCACCTTCGACATGGCGTTGGCTACTTCCTTATTTACCTGTTGCCATTCACCAGTTACCTTTTTGTAACAGGACCCAGCTGATCAGCTCTGAATTCCTCATAACACAGAGTCCAGTACTCCTAGCAAAGCTGAGAATACCTGTTTATTCAGTGGGTCAATAAAGCAAGCAAACACCGAGGCATATCAGAAAGCAGCGCACTGGGTTCGATGGCCTTGAGGTATCCAGTTAGCCAGCGCCATCATAGAACAGGGGTGGAGTGGTGGAGTGCACCGAGAAGACGCGGCACTGTGTTGCTTTGCCATATGGGATTGATACCGAGGCTGCAGCAAGGGCTCAAACGTGCACACTTGCTGTGAGTCAGACACACCTCAGTGGCCTCTGCCAAGAGCCTTGATGTGTAATCCTCATGAACTTGGTCTAATGCTTTCTGAGTCTGTTCTTGGGTCTGAGGTCAGTTGTGCACCACTGGCTCTTCTGACCTTAGCTTCCTTATCTATTAAATAACGATTGGCTATGTCATCAAAGGGAATCAACTTGATGGCAGCATGTTTCGTTTGGGATCGCCCGAGTCGTTTTTTGTGAGGATCAAGGGAAAACTAACCCAATGCATGGGACATGTTGGGGGCGTTCACACATGCTACCAATAATGATACTGGTAGCTATTTTTGTCAATAATGATTTCCATTGAAATCTGTTTATGTGTATATTTTGAGTAGCAAAATTTCTTGTGCTATCAAACTGTTGAGTACAAACATTAAATAACTACCATTCTATTCTATGGCATTTCATTGTACTTAATGGGTTCAGAGAAAAGTTATATCAAAGTTTCAGTTTTGGAAATAGATAGCTGGTGTCCTTATCTAAGGAGAACGTGTCCTAGGACGAATTTCCCATGTGGGATTTTAAGGAGCATGAATTGGCCTTGGGCTCCTCCAAGCCCTATGCAAACGTGACTTCCTTGATCCCACAAGTGTTCTTGACTCTTGAAGTTTGGCCTCAGTTTTGTGTGTGCGTGTTGTTGGTTTTTTTATTTTCAATTTTCAGCTGAAGAAATTTGGCCTCAAATCACAAGATTAGTGATCAAAAATGCATTTATAATACAAAGAGAAAGGATGGGCTAAAATTGAATTTTGAATCACTGTCTAAAATAACACTTGGCAGGGTTTGCTCAAAAATGAGACTGTGTGCTTCAAGTGCTACTGTCAACCCTTTAGTACGTTCGCTGTTGACTCTCAAAAGTATATGTCAATTTCTTCTTTCAGTCGGCTAGTGTTTTGGTAACAGGGATACAAAATGCCCCATTTTACTTTTCATAATTTTCACAGAAATTACATAAGCTTCAATTTACTAGTGTTTTAAAGATAAGCTCTTTCCCCCTTACGAGGGAAAGATCTGTCAAATACTTTAAGCTTTTGTAGGGCAGGGGTATTGCTCTGTAACAAAAGCGGCCCTGAATTCACCGCTGCTCTGATTGAGGGGATACATTTCTGGGCTTGAAGAGCACTCCTCGCCCAGTGCCGGAAGAAGGTTCCCACTCACATGCCTTCGCGTGTTGAACCACTTCCCAGGCTCCTCAGTGATGGCATCTTTCGGAAGTGGTTCTCCAGGCCTTTGTTTCGTGACTCCACGGGGTGGTTTCAGTTAGCAGTCAGACACAAACTGTCCGTACCACCCGCTGGATTTTTACAAAAGCTCTATAGTGTGAAGCAAAACAACATCTCTCACTTTTCCAGTGTCTTGACTTAAAACCTTGGGGTCTATTTTGAGAAGGTTACTCTGTATCAGTTACCAAGTTCTGCATATGAGTATTCATTTCCCCTAATCCCTTTTCAAAGCAATTCTGTCTTCCTTGAAGCCTGCCCTGACTCCACTCACCCCTAATGCATTGTATCTACTGCCTTGGTGTGTCGATATAGTCACTGAAACAAACAGCAACAACAAGAACCGAGACTGCTGGGTTGACAGTGCTGATGCACAGGGACCCTGTAGGACAGAGGAAAACCAGAGGGTTTGCAAGGCTGCCCCTTTGTGAGAGCACACTGCGCACTCTCTTTCGCCCTAGGAGCAGCTGGTGGGTCAGATTGAACAGATGACCTTTCAGTAAGTAGACAGGTACTTTAATCACTGTGACTTCAGGGTATTAGATTAATGCAGTTAACTCTCCAGTGAGATCTTTTAATTAAAACAGACAAAAATCCCTAATATCCCTATTGTACTATGCACCAGCGAAGATATCTTATTCAACAGTATATTTCTACAGCCCAATACGGTCCTTGGCATGTGGCAGGTACTTTTCCTAGTGATGGGCTGCTTTGGATACGGTAGAGCTGCAAGAAGGATTTTTTGAGATGAGATGTTGCAGGGGCAGGTAATTATTTAATGTGCACCTTCTAGCCAGTCTCTAACTCCCAGGAGATGCCCTTTCCCTGCCTGGGTTTGCTAAGAAGGTGGAGCAAGATACTATTAGGATTCACTTGTGAGTCTTTGTGAACAGAATTCCCTGGAATACCTTCTTGCTGCTTATAAAATGAGCCCTCGGAGCAGCAGCAGGAGGGATCTCGTTCCTAGCAAGAGCCAGGAGTGGAGCATGTCTTGTGGACCCAAGATCCCTGCTCAGTGAAGCTCCTGGATCCAGAAGACGGCTGGATCACCAGAGAGCAGCAGCAGAGCCAGGATCCAGAGCACGGGCCAGGGTGCTGGACTTCCTGCCCCACGGAGTGGAGCGAAGAGCTGAGTGCTTCTGTGATGGAGGCTGACTTGAGAAGGGGCCTCTGGGCACGGGATTGGGAAAGCTGGGCTTGATGACCCACAGAGGTGGAGGTGAGTGCGTTGGGCTGAGGCTTATGGGAGTGGGGTGCCCCTTGATGCAGGGAGCTGGGTTTGCTGGGTGCCTTCCATTTGAGGTTTCCTGCAGCGTGTTCTACCCCTTTGGATGTGTATTAGCAGGCCTGAAAGGACTTTGTGACTGGTTCTGATCAACAGCTGTCCCTGGGTGTTTTTCACAGGGATTCCAACGTAACTTTAAACCCTTTAATGGTGAATATTGTCTGCGAATTCTGAGTAGCCGTTGTACCGAACATTGGAACCCAGAAGAGCTAGCCATTAAGACAACACCGATGTGCCATTTTGGGATATTCGAAACCTAAATGGAGAGGAGAAAAAGGAAGAAGACAAAGACAGATAATGCTCTTGAGTTTATGTGGTTCCCATGGACTTTGTTTTTTGTCGGCCTGCCAAAAAGCGACTCAAGGTTAAACCAGACTTGATTTTTCACTCCACAAATGATACCAACCACCCCACCCCCACCCTGCCCTACAGCTTCTTGATGCCTTGATTTTAAAGGACCAGGATAGACCTGGCTAACTGAGGATCAAATTAAGGTGACTTTTTGTACTAAGTGCATCCCCCACCTCGGACCCTGACTACCATTATGAGGGGATTGTATGTTTGGAAATGCAAAGTCGTGTCTAGTAGACTAGAGTTTGGGATGTCTCTCATTTGCTTGAGGAATATAGGGTCACCGTGCATCTAAAGCACACTCAAATGCCAAGCAGTCAGGGGAACCCTGCAGCTTAGATAAGGAAATAGAAAGCTTGTGTCCAAGCTGCTTCCATTGTGCTGTGCTCCTGCAGCGATCCTGCTGCAATCTAGAAATGACGAGGCGTTTGGAATCTCCTGCTGAACACAGTCATCTCTCGGGGGTCAGTCTCTCAGGGGGTCCCGGTGGAAGAGCTCAAATAGGGTCAGTAGAGGTTGTTAACGTGCCAGGCCAGGAGAGTTCTTGTGAGGGTGACAACTCACATCAGTCTTCCTGTTCAATTCTTGTGTGGTCATTTTTTAGTGCTTCACTCTTTATTTAGACTTGGTTGAAAATTTGCTTGTTCGCAGTACTATTTTTAGTTGATCCTCCTTCCAACCCGCCCAAAAGTACTAGAGTAAGTTTCTTTAGTTATTCTAGGAGGAAAGACAAAGTGGTTATTAAAATGTTGAGCTGCTTCTGCACAGTGATTATTATTTGCGTGCCTTCAGTGAACGGAATACGGGAAATCAGACACATCTGTGCCTTTTAGTTAAAAATCAGCATTTGAAACTTACATTTTATAGTTTAATATTCCCCTGATGCTTAACATTATTACTTAGCCTGATTTTCAGGTAATCTTTAACAGTGCATGACCCAAGGGTAAGGGAAAGTTTTATGATCCCAAAGACCTCGACTGTTTAGGAGACGAGATGCATACTATTAAAATCTTTCTTACAATAAATAACCTAGCACTTTGAGACCAGTTTGGAACTCAAGATTATTTTTTGAGCCTCCTATAATATGTTTAAATTGACCCATTCATCAATTTTATGAGTAGCCTAAGTAAATTTAGTTCATCTACATATTTATGTACTTTAAATAGACTAATGTAAACAGTGCCTTACCTACCATATGCTGAAATGCTGTAGCGAAGGACAGAAGGGACTGTCAACAAAGATGGCATTGAATTGCAGTGTTTTGGAAAAAAAAATCCAGTGTACTAGATGCCTGTTAATCTGGTGCTTTAAATATCATAAACAAAAGTATCAGAATGTGTTTCCAAGGACAAAGGCGGAGTTTTCTAGGCTTCGATTGGCTGCTGCCTTTCCCAGTCCCACGGCCATCCTTAATTGGCTTTGGGTAGATTGGAATCACATAAGCAGGGTGACATTTATTCCTTTCCTACTTGTTTCTTTTCACCGAGCCCTGGGAATTCCCAAAAGTCACCGTAAAAGATTTCTTTCGTTTCGTCCATGATCTACAAGAGGGGCTCATTCTAAGCCAGGCAAGCATGAGTCTGAGTGCGAGAAGAGTTACTCTGCCCGCGATCACGCCCATCGTTCTACAGAAAAGGGTATGTGGCTTTCCTCCCCTCTCCCCACCAACTTTTAAACTTTTCTCCACTCTTCCCCGTACTGTGGGTCTGTTACTCTGGGGAGGTCTTAGTCACGTGTATTGAGAAAGACTGTTAAGTCACTGAGGCTGTCCAGGTAAGGGAGATATTATTTAAATTGAACTAGGGTCGGGGTGGAGGGGAGGGAGAAATGATTGCGTGATAACATCACTGTAGTAAAAAACAGAACAAAATGAAACAAAGCTCCGTGTAAAAGCAGTTTGGTCTCCGATTAAGGTCACTGTGATTTAGGAACTATTATGAAGCCTTTAAAAAATTTCCTCCTTTAACCTTGTATCTGTTTACTTTTTGTTCAATAGGAAACTTGCTAGCCATTGTGTTATATGTATATTTGTTTACTAAGGAATACTTTCTTTGTTTCACTAGAGTTTATAATATTTCCACCTTCATCACTGAATGGGTTTACTTTTCAAATATGTGGCACCAGTTATTATCCTGAAGTTTCTACCCATTTCTATTGAATTTTTACCTGTCTGCTTGAGGAAAAACAAACTTTACATTTAATTCCCCTGTGAAAAGGTGCTCTGTTAATTATTAATACAATCAATATATAGATGAAGATGTTTTAGCTCTTAGTTTTTCATATTGTTTTCATGTCTGACTTGCAGCCTCGCATTTTATAAGGTGATACATTATACCCTTTAATCCTTGTTAAGCAAAACTGGCACACTGAACTTTTCTTGTAAACACACCAAATAAGAACATTGCACGGGACTCCTTAAAGAATGAGCTGTATGTTAGGAAGGAAAGCACCGACCTATGGTTTTGGCAATGAACCAAAAGAATGGCTTTGGTGATATAGAAACAGGAATGTTTATTTCCTGATTTAGCTTTTAATAGTTAACGATTAGTGCATTGCGTTTAATAATGTTTTAACTTTTTTTGAAATGTGATCTAACCATTAAGGCTTTTTAATTTTTTTACAGTGGCAACTTTTATTTTTAGGTTTGAGGCTTTCAATTTATTTTCTTTGGCATATGGAACATTCACACTCTAGAATTTGTTAATTGGCATTGGAAGAACTACAGTGATTTGTTGCCAGCATTTGCTTTTCATCTTTCCTGATACTTTTCTTTTATCTTATAACTTGAGCAAAATATACTGAAATCACTTTGTTTTAAAGTAGAATCTGTATTTTAGAATTAAGATTAGCAGAACATTAATTGTGGTAACATAGGGTCTCTGATTTATTGGGGAGATGAAAAGATGCATTAACATATATAAATTTGTATTCTGTATTTGAATTCATTAGCCAATTAATATCAGGAGTTTAGATAGACCAAGTCACTTTTATCATATATGTTTTTCTTTTTGGATGGGGGCCGGGGGATGGGGGTAACTTGCAGGATGGTGTAGTAGAAAGCATATGGTCTAGACTCTGTTTATTAGCAGTGTGACTTTGGGTAGATCACCTAAACTTTCAGAGAACTTTTTGTTCTCATCTGTGAGATAACACCTGAGAGAATTTTCATTAAATCATCCTTCCAGTGTTTCTTATTCTATGAATCATAAACTATCTTTGGTTTTCAGTTTTTGCAGTAAATGACTAAAACACTTTATCATTTTGAACAGTATATAGAACACTAGAAAAAGATGCTATCATTTTGAACAACTTTGAGCAGCTAGTGAGGGGAAAATTGATATGATGAATAAAACTTGGCTGGAAAATACAGATCTAAGCTGCCAATCGATAACCCCATTGTGATTTCTCTTGGCCTTTTTACTAATAATCCTCTTTAGATTTCTATTCTATAACGATGTAAGTCAAAATTCTCCAAATCCACGTGATTCCTTTAAAACTCATACCCATCTAAGTGCTCACGCAATTTAGTCCCTCACCACTTGCTAGAAGTACTTAGGCTGCTCTTTGCTTCTGACATTTTAATTCCCAGAGGACCCGCTTGTCTATTCAATCTCTGAAAATTTTAATATCTGTATTTCTTAGGAACTGGATACTTTTCCTGACTGAAAAACACCCATCTGCTCTTGTTGCTCTAGGACTGCACATTCTTTTTGTCACGATAAAGAGTAAACGGGAGTATTAGTCCACCGCGTCAATGCTGCATCCTTTTCTCCGGGTGCCATAATTGAAGAGGATCTTACAAAGCACACCAGCATTTTTCAGAGTACTTTGACAGGGGCAGGTTCTGATTTCCCAAGAATGCATGTGCTTTTTTCCCACAAAGTTTGCTCATACTGGACGAGTGACTCGGATCAGCATTTGAAAGGCCAACAACAGGACTCTCCATAGCACTGGGCCCAGAAAGTACCTTTCTCATTCAGTCATGATCTACATGGCCACAAGATTTTCTTCTGAATGGTTGGCAATTTGAATTTTAAATATGGTACTGAACCTGGAGCCCTTTCCAGACTCACCGAATACTTTTTGATCAATGAGTAATTGTGTAGTTTGGTAGACTCTCTGTTCAGTGAATGGGGGGGTGGGGAGGGGGAGGGTGGCAGCAGCAGGGGATGGGATCATCTTTCTTTCTCTAATAGGATCTGACTTTCCTAGTTTCAGGAAGTTTTTTGAGAAGCTTTCATCCTGTCCCTCAGAAACGATTGCACCAAATAGTCTGAATGTGTCTTTTATGTCCCAGCATTTTTCTTAGATAACCACTAGGCTGTTCCCTGCCTCCTCTCCTCCAGATGAGAAGACTGAATCTCTCGGGAATTGAATGACTTATGCAAGGTCACCCAGAAGGTCAATGGCAAAGCTAGAAATAGAATCTAGGTCTTGTGACTTACAGCGTGGTTCTCTTAGGTACATGCTACCTCCTGAAATTAATATGTTAATGAAATTGCCTTATGGTGTGTATAATTGCCATTCAACTTCAAGTCTGGAATTAGTTTAGGCAAATCCTGTCATCTTCCTCTGCATCTCCACCAACTCCCATGTGTTCTAGTGTAGACAGCATTTTATTCAGAAAGCAATTGTAAGCAGCAGGGTAATTTTGTGTGTGTGTGTGTGTGTGTGTGTGTGTGTGTTGTGATGGAAAGAAAATTTATACCCAGGGCTCCAGATTGGCACATGATATCGAAAAACTATTTTAAGGTTCCAGAAATATAGGGGAAGGCTCTCAACCATTATAAAATGTAATGAAAATACAATATGAAATCCACATTCTTTTTATAGAAAAGCTGCACTTTCAGAAGACTTGATATATCCATAGTATGACTCTGGGTAGATATACTTTTGTGATGTCAGATTAACAGTGATTTTTTAAAATTGTTTGCAAGCATTTCTGCATTTTAAAACTCTAGTTATGCAAGATGTTTAAAACTGCATAAAGTCCTAACGAGTCTTCTGCAATTCCGGAGGAAAAGTGAGATCCTGCAAGAGCACTTCATGACATCCTTGGATGAAAGGAGTGAAAACTTGGTGGCATTTTCCAGGAGCTTCTGAAGGCAGTGAGCCTTGGAGGTCTGTGACGTGCAGGCGAGCCGTTGGGAAGCACCTGCCACTCCGGGACAGACCAGAGAGGGGTCCTGTTCCTGGAGGATGTGCCTTGGGACCCCACATGGTGGTTCTGCTCTGCCTGGAGACCATTCTAGTTGCAATCGCCTCCATGGCAGTCGGTTTGGTTTTCTGGTTTTCTTGGATTCAGACTATGCCTTTCTTATGACTCAAATCCTTTTATAAATCTGAAATTCACGAATTTAACACGGAATGGTGCGATTTGTCAGAAGTTTCAGCTCCCCATCCATACATGGGACCTTTCGAAGGTTTGTGAAACAATTCCATTCCCTTTGACCTCCGTTTTCTTTCTGAAGCCCCTCCTGGAGCAGAAACGCGTGTTCACGTGCCCACTTCCCTTCTCAGAGGGAGAGTCATGGCTCTGTGGGTCTTAGAGGTCCCACGAAGGGTGAAAGGATACAGGCCGCCCCGCCGCTGTCTCACGCCCGGACAACCGGCCCAAAGCTCCCAGCAGCCGGCACCCCAGGCCTGAGACGCCCTTGGTTTTCCACACCTTCTTCTTCCAATACTGCTTTCGGGGCCCAACAGCGGGGAACGTGTGCATCTTTGTACTTCTGCTTTCATTCCCAACGGCTCCCTAGTGCGGTGCTTCTCCACCTTTCATACCTGTCCTCATGTGGTGGTGACCCTCCAACCATAACATTACTTTCATTGCTGCTTCATAAGTGTCATTTTGCTACTGTTATGAATCGGGCAACCCCTGTGAAAGGGTTGTTTGACCCCCAAAGGGGCCGCGACCCACAGGTTGAGAACCCCTGGTCTGTTGCCTCAGTCTCCTCTCAAGCTGTGGGACTGTTCTGAAAACGGCTCAGACGTTTGCCATCGCGTGATTAGTATCTGTGGATATGACGTCCACTGTCAGCCAGCAGTTCAGCCACTACTGCCTTGGGGCTTCCATTTCGTTGTTACCTTTCATGATATTTTAAGTCTAGCGGCTACCATCCTCGCGGTCAGCAGTTTGAAACCACCAGTTGGTCGGAGGGAGGAAGACTGGGCTTTTGGCTCCTGTAAAGAGTTGGTCTTAGAAGCTCACAGGGCAGTTCTACCCTGTCCTCCAGGGTCACTGTGAGAGCATCAGCTCCACAGTGGTGAGCTTGTTTGTACAGTGCCCTATCTGGTTTTCTAGGTCTTTCTGACCTTGTCGTTAGACGAAAACAAAACAAAACAAAGCAAAACACCCCCAAAACTTTAGCTACCAAGGGGAGGGGTTTATAATAAAGTGCTTTACAGTTAGAGGTTAAACTATTTGCAGATAAGCTGACATTCAGAACGACAGTGGATCAAACAGGGAAGGGGTTTATTTCCTCTTCACTTTACAGGAAGATTAGGTCCAGAGCCAAGCTCTTTCTTGCCTTTCACTTTATCGTCCTAATGTGGGGCCCTTTTCTCGTGAAGTAGAAGATTTCTGGCATAGAGAATGTGACTGACCACGAGCAGGACAGCCTTTTTGGTCCCATGTTAT